TTTTGGAAAGGGGGTCAAGGGGATTTGCAATCACAAATTTTATCAGGCAAATAACTTTTTAACAGCTGTGCTGAAGTGTTTCAACTACTGAACCAAATGTACAGAGTAGTTAGCTCCAGCTGTCATGTTGACAGAGGCTACTCAGGGATAAGAAGCCCTGCGCCTGAGAGGGGACACACCAGGCCTGACCTCAGCCCTTTACTAAGACAAGCTAGTCATTTTCCCTGGCCATCTGAGCAGCATCCAGTTTCAGTTTTCTCACTCGAGCTCGACCTTATCATCAATATGGCTATTGATTGTACACAAACACACATTACCTGCACAAACTGTGTACAACACAGTGCTATGCACAAGCTACAGGGGTTTGTCCAGTCGTCCAATGTTTAGATATTTAATGTCTGAAAAATAGAAAATAAAAGACATTTAGCACAAGTATTATATATATATATATATATATATATATATATATATATATGCTGTGCTGAAGTGTTTCAACTACTGAACCAAATGTACAGAGTAGTTAGCTCCAGCTGTCATGTTGACAGAGGCTACTCAGGGATAAGAAGCCCTGCGCCTGAGAGGGGACACACCAGGCCTGACCTCAGCCCTTTACTAAGACAAGCTAGTCATTTTCCCTGGCCATCTGAGCAGCATCCAGTTTCAGTTTTCTCACTCGAGCTCGACCTTATCATCAATATGGCTATTGATTGTACACAAACACACATTACCTGCACAAACTGTGTACAACACAGTGCTATGCACAAGCTACAGGGGTTTGTCCAGTCGTCCAATGTTTAGATATTTAACAGAGAATAAAAAACATTTAGTACAAGTAGTAGATAGTCATACAGTATATAAAGTAAATATATATATATATATATAGGTTTTGCTTATGTAATGTACACTCTCAGAAAAAAAGGTACAAAAGCTGTCACTGGGGTGGTACCTTTTCAACAGGTACACTTTTGTACCTTTTAGGTACTAATATGTACACTTTAGTTACTAATTTGTACCTTTAAGGTACCAATATGGACTCTTTAGGTACAAAAGTGTGCCTTTTGAAAAGGTACCACCCCAGTGACAGCTTTTGTACCTTTTTTTCTGAGAGTGTATAGATAATATATAGAGTCATCATGTGTCTTGTTCTATAATAAAATATGTTATTATATGGCTATTTAATAATTAAAAAATGACAATAAAAATAAAATGTTGATTCCACTATGTTATTAAAAGAGAAGAAAGACAGTCCACTGAGTTCACTGGGCACAGCTGTGTAGAGAAATGTTTGCCTGGGGCAACGGTCAATTAGACAGTTCAGTGATTATTATACAATAATATGGAGAATGCTGCAATTGACCAGTCAGCAGGAAGTATTACAGAAAGGTGTGTAGTA